TACTTATAAGTAACTTTCTTAGATCTGTTGATCAGTGTGGCTGTTTTCCTGCAGGCATTAAATTACATTGCTGTTATCAAATCCAGTGTTAAAGGACATGTATGGACAAGTGCTTCCCTTCAGGGGAGAGATGAGGAATATCTGGCCCACGAGGCATCCCATGTTTAGCATTATGACCCCTTTCTGCTACCAGAACAATTTTACTTTTGATTCCTTCCCTTGTCTTGCCTTAATCTCCCTCTGTGTGTTTGTTGTTTTGACACTTGGAATATACTTCCCTGTGATGTTGGCTTCTGTTGCCTCTGGGTGACCTTTTGGGAAGAGCTTGGATTCAATCCCTCCAGAATCCTTTGGCCTTTTCTGTTGCTCTTTGTTGTTTTTTTCTTGCAGGACCAGCACAAAATGTGCTTTAGCCAAACACCAGAGGAATCTCACCCACCAAGTCCATGGTGCAAAGTACTGGAAGTGGGAAGCCCCAAAGTCGCCCATTCCCAGAGACCACAAGGGCCATCTAGTCCAACCCCTTGTCATGCAAGAATAGTGAATCAAAGTGCCCCCAACAGATGACCATCCAGCCTCTTCTTAAAGAACTCCAGAGAAGGAGACTTCACCATGCCCCAAGGCTGTGTAGTTCACTCCTGATGTGTTGGAATGTTCTTCCTAATGTTTAGGAATCTTTTTTCCTGCAATTTGAATTTATTCCTCTGTGTCCTAGTCTCCCAAGCAGCAGAAAACAAGCTCACCCCTTTATAGCTTGGTAAAGGCCTTCTTGAATTGTGGTGCTCAGAACTGGACACATCCAGATGAGATCTGACCAAAGCAAAATAGAGTGGAACTATGACTTCCCTTGATCTCATAGTGATCCATTTGGTTAAGGTGAAGATCTCTTCAGCCTCACTTTGTCAGCCACGTTTGCTGTTTAATTGCAAGTGCATAATCTGGATTTTGAGTGGTTTCTAAAATGGTCTTGAACTAAGGAGCAAGGGAAAAAACTACTTTTGAGCCAATGCTAATACCCCCAAATTCCCTCTAAACACACTCATCACAGCAAGCACAAATATCCCTTTTCCTCTAAAGTCCTAAAAATGGTGATAGGAAGTGATTCATGTCATTTCCTATTGCCATTTTGAGAGACTTTAGAAGAAAACAGTGAGGTACTACAAAGCTCTGTAGTGGCTGTGAGGGTTTTCATGTGTTTTTCACACATTTGAGGAGATTTCTGTGTAGCCTGTGGATACAGTTGCCACAGTGAAAACTGGAGATATCTACTATACCTTTAATGGTTGTAAAGAAAGGGAATTTCAGCAAGTGCCGCTTATCATGGAACCAGGAAATAAGCAGCATCTGCTGAAATTCCCTTCTATGCAATCAATAAAAGTATAGTAGGCGTCTCCAGTTTGCAATTGGAAACCTTGTCTGGTGCAAACATTATTTGAAAATCATGCCAGGTCTGAAAATCATTTTGGTTTACAGTCTTTTTAAAAACTGATGGTGGGATTCTAGGGCCACAGAAGTGGTGTCTTGGGGCCCTATATTATCCCTAGGCAACACTACCCACATTTATGCTAAAGAAGGTGGATAAGTTTATAATCATTTTTGGCTTCACAGTCGAAACTGCAACTCACTTCTGATGTGATTGATTGTGATGCAGAGGAGATGTACTTTTTTGAGAGACAATAGGATTTATGGCTTGATAGGAACACATAAAAAGCCAGTGCAATGTTGTGATTTGAGCATTAGAATACAACTCTGGAGATCAGGATTTAATTTCCCAATTGGCTGTGGAACCCACTGGATGACCTTGGGCAAGTCACACACTCTTGGCCCCAGAAAATACCAAAATAGGGTGGCCTGAGAGTCCCTGTAAGCTGAAAACAACCTGAAAGCACACAGCAGCAGCAATGACAGTGTCTACATAGGTCTCTGCTATTGCTGTGTGAATGGGGAGGGGCTTCTCCTGCCTCAGGGGTTTCTGATATCCTGAATGGTGATAGCACTTCCTTGTGAGAAGACAGGCAAATGACAACAAGCTTGAGTTCTATTTTTCACCTCATGTTTTTCAGGCTTTGTTTCTGTTAAGCTTTCTGAAACGCATTGCTATGTAGACAGAATGCAGAGGTGGCTATGTTGACCATCAAAGAAAATCTAAAATCCAAAATCAACACTTAAAAAGGTAAAGGTTTCCTCTTGAGATTAAATCTAGTCATATCCAACTCTGGGGGGTGGTACTCATCTCCATTTCTCAGCTGAAGAGCTGGTGTCTGTAGACACCTCCAAGATCATGTAGCCGGCATAACTGCATGTTACCTTCTCTCCAGAGTAGTACCTATTAATCTGGTCCCAGGATTCAAACTGCCAACCTTTCAGTTAGCAAGTTCAGCAGCTCAGCAGTTTAACCCACTATGCCACTGGGGGCTCCCTAAAATCAACATTGGTGAAATGCAAACGATGCAATCGTCCAACCATCCAAACACAAAAACCAAAAAAGTTTGATAGCTTTTGAGGCTTACTAGTTGCTTCTCCAAGCAAAGATCATGCAGAAATACTTTGTTGGAGTTATAGGTTGCAGGAGGGAGATTGGGAGAGACAGACAGAGAATGACTGGATTAAAGGCAGTAAAAGAAGTCTGTAACACTTCAGTTCTCCACTGCAGCCATGACATCTCTATCTTTGAAATATCTTTTCTGTCCCTGCTCATATGAAGCCAAAAACTTCTGTGACATCTTTCATCAAAAAGCCAGTGAGCACTGAAAACTGGCATATTTTTGGTGGTTGGAGTGGTCTTCTAGTTGGTGTAATGAAAGTATTGCTGGCATGTATTTCTAGTTAGGCTGGCATCCTATTCTGTGTCATTTTTTGGCCAGAGGTAATTTAAAGTGTGTAAAAATAATAGGTGACCCTGCCTTGTTTCACTTTACCTCCATCAACTCCTGAAATGCACCTCTTGAGATATTTCTAAGATTGGAAAGGGTTTCCAGTTCTAAAGTAGGTTGTTGTTGTTTTTTAAATCATAGTTCATAAAGAGCACTTTTTGTTGATCTGTTGCTTACGGAACACTTTCAGCAAGTATTTGGAGTTGTAGTCCAAACAACTTGCATGTCAAAGCTCGTTATGTGTTTTACAGGTCAATGTTTACTTTGTACAATATATTGGACAGAAACTCCTATACGCTCTACAAGTGAGGCCATACAGTTAGGTTGAGTCAGATTCCTCTTCTGGATGATTTTGAGTGTCATGGGAAGGCAGCAAATATAGTTAATTACCTAATGTCTTATTGGTGTATTTGAACTCTGAGAGAGAACTACTTATGAAATAGTCTGCCCCTCGTGCCAAAACTGGCTTGGCTGGGCTTGAGCATTATGCACCTTTGACTTGGAGGAAGAAATGATTTTACTACTTTGCTACATGCAAAAAAGAAATTCCTATGGACCAGTTCTGCTCTACAGCACCGAGCAAGCTAATGCTTTTAGGTGAGCTCAGCATTTCAGTAAGGAATAGATTTATTTTTTTTAAAAAAAGAATGATTTGTGTCGCATCCCCAGCATGGAAGACATTCTACAGCAAGATGAGTCATAGTCTTTACCAACTGTGTTAGAGTGATAATGCAGGCAGCAAATGGAAACAGCAAAGAACCCGGCTTCTGTAGCCTTCTCATTTGTTTTGCTTTGACTGGACTTTGAAACTTTGACAGCCAAGCTCTAAATGAGAAATGCAGCTGAAACACATTGCTTTCAACCTGAGTGATATTGCTGATTTTCCTCCCCCTCCCTCCTCTTTCTAACTACAATTGTTACTGCTGTTGCTGTTATTTCCATTGTTGTATATATATTCTGATTTGGTTTTTATTTTTAAAATCTTTTTCAAAAATCAACCATTTAGTTAACTCATGTACATGTGGTAATAGTACATTTGATATTTACAGGATTTATGTACATAAGACGAGCAGTCCATCAAATAACAAGAAAAAACTAATTAATAGAAAAGAAAGAAAACCATGTTTCTGAATTGTCAAGTATGCACACCCTTTTCTATGCTATATATTGGGATGGGGGGAAATGAAGGCAACTTCGAGCATCATGACTTGCCTGCAATAACCATGTCGTCACACCCCCTTTGTACCTTCACAACACAACAGCTTTGTGGGTGGCACTCGGGGGGTGTGGGTGGAGAAACAATATTTTAAACAGGTGAATGCCTAGATCAAGCCAGACTGCATTCAAATCGGTGGCAGCTGCTTTGTCCCTGAACTCTCAACAAAGGCGATCTCATCCCCCAGTATCCTATTAGATGAATAGTTTACTATCAGGTTCTTGTAACAGAATGACAACAGCGCTGGGGCTCATGAGAGGGTTCGCAGAGGGCGGCAGCGATAAGCAGTGAGGAGAGCAGTCTTAAGGAAAAAGGAAGTACCGGAGGAATGTCACTGCTTTGCAAACGTCCCTTATCTTGGGCACTCCTTATTAGTAAAGGCTGGAGGTTAAGGAATCAGTTTATGGTGCTGTTGTTCCTTGTCGCTGACTTTCACGGCACAGGATTTCCTGTCTGAAGAGTGCGCTCCATGTTCATTCACAGCCTGATCCAGAAACCACTTCTATCAGTGCAGACCTTGGCATTTCAAACAAAAATCAAATCTCTCCAGCCACCCTCCGCCCCTGACTCCGCTCCACCCCTCTGGGTATTAATTGTTCAGAACACAAAGCAAAAGCAACCAGGAAGGTCAGACATAAGGTGATTTCAAAAATATCCACGCAAATCTTGCAGGCAGAAAGAGGGAGATAAAATATTTGGCTTCCGATGTGCGTCACTTTCCATGTGTATATGCATGCTTATTCATCTATGTTTTAGAAAGAATTTTAAAAGAGGGAGAAGAAGGATTTGCTGGATTCTGCACCCTCTCTCTCTTTAATGAAACACCTCTCCTTTCTGTCTGGCTGTCAGCTGGAAAAGCACTGGAGGATACGCTGTGCCAGGCTGAAGAACCCACCTAGAGGGCCCCTTTGACGCTAGTACATCCTCTTTCGGGCAGCATTCACTGCAGCCGGGAGCTAATTCTGCTGCACAATTATAGTGCCACAGACTAGCCTGCAAGTGTCCTGAGCCTATGAAAGGAGAGGGGAAAAGACAGAAGAAGACAAAGGTTTCTGAAGGGTGCCTTGGAATTCCCATCACTGGAAAGAAGACCTTGCTTGCCTGCAATATTGCGATGGGTGAGAGAACTGGCTCAGCTCAAATTTCAGAATCTGCCTGTCCAAGGATGTCACCAGACGTTCAGAAGTAATAAGAGCTCAATCTTCCTGGGAACAAAAGAAAGGAGGGAAAGGAGGAGGGAGACTTCAAGGAAGGAATTCTTAGATTTCGTGGGACTTTCAATTCTCTTTTTTCCCAACCAGACATGGAGACACAAATAAGGTTTCCATACAGGGTCTAATATCTAGTTTTCAAGGGAAAGAATCCAACAAAGGCTCTGCAGTAAATGAATCGATTACTTATTACAAGATCCAAAGGAGGCTTTCTCAGAAGTAATCCCAAGATGTTTGAATGGGACTGACCCTTCACAGGAACAGGATTGCAGAATTGTTGGGGCTTTTTGGAGGGGTTAGGAGTGGGGGGTTTTTTTTGCAGGTAAAAGACCAGCTTTGTTATGGAATTGAAAAGGAACTGAGATTTGAATCATGGTAACACTTTGATTTCATAAAGGTATACCAGAATGGTCTTATCTTATGGAGCAGGAAAACAGATTTCCTATGGTTCTCTCCTATGATGTAGTGAACATAAGAAGTACTGTGGCAGATGAAAAGTTTTCTTTGTGTTGGATTATACTCCATTCTTTATTCCTTCTTCCTTGGAAAGGAAGTAGAGAGACTTCAACCGACCACTGCTGAATATGTGTTTAAGAAGGAAGAAAAAGCAATATTTATTGTTTCTAAAGGCCAACATGGCAAAACAATGCAAAGTTTTGTATTTCTTCTTAGAAACTGATCTAGCACAGGTGGCAAAAAATTCACTCTTGACTAACCTCTTCCTACTGTTTCAAATGCTGCATATGAAGATGCTTTAATTTAAACCTGGGATTTATCAAGAGGAAGCACTGCCTTCATTTAGGATAAGTTGTTAAAGATACATGGTTATTTTTTCTGATTTTTTTTGTATTCTTCTGAAAGAATTACAAGCAAATTGCATTAATGGATGGACACATAGCTAAAAACCTTCAGGAAATTCTGTCCTCAAATCCTGGAAATTCTCTCATATGTGGAATATACTGTTTTTTTGCAATAGCACATAACACAAACTAAAGCTGCAGTTGTTGTGGAATGTACCTATGCATACCATAACAGACCAGGCCTTCAGACAAAGAAAAGACTGATGCTGATAGAACCATGAACATGATGCATGTGAACAATTTTCCATTTAGGAGGCATTCATGGATATGGTGAGTAACTGCTGCACACTTTAGTAGCAAGTGTCCCAGTGCTGTTGTTTGCTGTACTTGTCGTGACAACTGCTTTTTTTAGCTTTACAAGGTGTTGGTGATGCAAGGAGGAACCGTAATCAAGGTGCATGCAAAACAACATAAAACAAAAATCCATGTTGGAATGTAATGCAATTTTTTCAACACAAGGAGAACCTGTCAGAATTTTTTAATGATGTCATGGGGAAGGGAGGATGGGAAGGAGAACATCATAATGATGAAACCACATATCCTTTCCCCCTTTGTTCATGTTGCCTGGCATTGATTTGGCTGACTTTAAGAAAAATATAACTTTATTTTCAACTCATTCATATTCACTCTTGTGTTCAGTGATTTCTTACCTGAGTCTCTGCTCATTTAATAAGCGTTCGAACAAAAATACTGTTTTTCTTCCTTTTCTCAAAAGCAGATGCCCGTCTCTCTTCCTCCCTTCTGCCCCACCCCCTTTTGCCAGGATATGCCAAAGAATTAATGCTTTCTCTGAGAAATACACAAGAATCTTTCCTTTGAAGCTTTAGCAAGGAATGGTTTAGATTATTTGCATATTTGATTGTTATTATTTTTGTCCCATTATACAATCCTTGCAATGGGACATAATATAGCCTTCTCTGTTTTGTTATATAAGGAAATGGTTTGCTTGCATGGTTGTTAAACAGTATGCTCCAGAAACTAGACACATTTGCTTATTCAAATATGTTTGACAGAGGGACATTTCTGAAGGCAAGCCTTTTCTACCACTCCCCCCCCCCCCCAAAAAAAAATATCCTAGTCATTCTTGCAAGTGGATCTTGCCATACCTATGCATTCCCAGAAATTGCAAATTTCTCTTATATGGTTAAAAGAGACCTAGAGAAGACACTTTGAGTTATTTTAATACAACTGTTATTAGATTATTATGCAGTAACTGCAAGATAACTTTTTTTCAAGTGACCCAGTTAATGTGGTGTTTGGTTAAAAGCTTTATTAATTGATGCTTCTTGTCTTTAGTAGTGCTTGCCTCAGCCCCGAAGCAGTACATTAAAGGCATTGGGTAGCAGCCTTGAAATCTTACAGATAATTGCAACAATCCAAAATTTCCATTCTTGTTCAGTGAGCATTCCCACCCTCATACTTATGGTACTTCTTTTCCTAGGAATTTTCTTTTTTCCATCTGCTACATAGAGGAAAAATATGTGGTCAGTGATCCAATCATAATAATTATCATATTTTAGTGTCTCTTTTCCATTTGAGATTTATTTTCCTTTCTCGTCCAGTTAAAACTTTCAATTTATCATAATCAAAGTTTGACTGTGAGAAGCCAAGGGAAGCAAAGAAAACTGAAGGAAGGAGCTTTTTGCATTTGGTTAAATATGGGGGTTGTGATTTATACTGTGACTGGTGTTTGTGCTACTTTAATGTCACACATCTACTTGTCAACAAATGGGCAAATGTGGTGGAGGCTCCTTCTTTGGAGGCCTCTAAGCAGAGACTGGATGGCCATCTGTCGGGGGTGCTTTGAATGTGGTTTTCCTGCTTCTTGGCAGGACGGTTGGACTGGATGGCCCATGAGGTCTCTTCTAATTCTATGAACTCAGTGATTTTAACTCACATTTCCATGTTGATTTGTGGGCTGGGCAAAACCCAGAAGCATTTTACTTGCTTTGTGGGAGTACATGTCTCCAGAATAAATGATGGGAATTGAGGCACCATACTTGGGCTTTATCATTAAACAATGGTCCAAATATGAGATTCTAGAAGATGTAATATGTGCCATTAAATAGAAGATGAAGAAGAGCTTCAATATAGAGCAAGGAGAGATGACATAGTGAGTTTTCGATATTTGTAAAATAGATCCTAAAACAGTTCCAGAGCTGTTCAGCACTGGAACTCTCTGCCCCAGACTGTGGTGGAGGCTCCTTCTTTGGAGGCTTTTAAACAGAGACTGGATGGCTATATGTTGGGAGTGCTTTGAATGTGATTTTCCTGCTTCTTGATAGGGGGCTGGACTGGATGGCCCACAAGGTCTCTTCCAATCCTATGATTCTATGAAAACAAAGGGCTAACCCTGTCATTACGTGAAGTGAGGTGGAGGTCTCAGGTCTTGTGGATTATGAATGGACAATAATCTCTTAAATTATTTTTTCAATGTTGTACTTTTGTTCCCAATAAGGGTGATAGGGCTTCTTGGATGTTCTGCTTCCAATGGTATCTTACCTGCTTTAAGGATTACATAAACACCTTAATGTGTAGGTAGACAGGTAATTCATCTCTGTCTCTTGATTTGTGTTTGGTTGTTGTCAGTAATTACATTTACATGGTTTGACAATAATATCCCAAAGTGGACATGTGAAGAAGCCCTAAGACCTAGCCAAATCAAGTTGATGACTACAATTAGGGTTGCCAGGTCTTAGGGAATTGGCTAAAATTTCCAGGAAAATCTCTGGTTCTCTGGATCTCCAGGTAAACAGATAAATCACAGGGATAAATTGCATTGAAGGAAGAAACCCCCTTGGTTTTTGTATATGAGATGGCTTCAGAGCTTGGGCATGTGTTCTCAGATGGAACCACTGCTCTCTGGATCAGCATGAGACCTTATGGGGCCTGCACTTGGGCTAGTTGTGCCACTTGGGCAATCTACAGAATGGCAGCACTGTAACTAGTTAACCTTCTCATTGTACAGCTACTGGAAACTGTTGTGTAGCATTTGGGAGAAAACCTTTCACAAGCCTTCACAGCAGTATAGGATCCGGCAAAAAATCCCTCTCCAGGTGCCATGTGCGCTGCAGGAAAAGCTCTAGCAAGGTTGTTTCCTGGTTATATTTTGCCACCTGCCCTGATATTTAGTTGTCCACCTCACAATATGGATCAAGGGGGAAACAGCAACAGGTTAAACTACCGTAATGTAACACCAGTTTAAAAAGCCTATAAAACCAGTCCATGTAGAAACCGATCAGTTCTTCCTTTAAAACCCATCATTTTAAAGTAATCTGGATAAACCTGTTGGGAGAGTCTTTAGTACTGTTTTCAAATCCAAACATTGTCTCCAGTTGTTGAATCTCTTTCAGCAGATCATTCTAGAGAGGCTTTACCTTCCCACCAAAATGCTGCTTTTCAGGCTTCAGTTAGCTGTGTTCTGCCCAAGTTCTGGGGAATTAATTCCCTGCTCATTTTCACAGTCAGTTTACAAAGCAGCACCCCCTAATCCTTACCTGCACCATCTCTATAACAGAAGGACTCATGCCTGGTCTCCCCTTGACCCTTTAATCTTAGCAAATGGGATGCTGCTGTCATTGCAAGCCTAACTCAGATGACAAAAGCCTCTTTAGTCAGAAAGTGGAATAGGAACTTTCATCATCAGCCTTTTTGACTGACAGGCAGAAGAAGCTGTAATTGTCCCAGGCAGATAGAAATACTAGTTTTCTGTCCCTACCTGGCCCTTTCTCCTGCTCCATTAGAGGCTCAAGTTTGGGATCCCGACTTGGAGGGCCCATATCTAAAGTGCACATCGAATGCTATAAGGAAGAGGCAGCTCCCTCATGTTTCAAATTTGAGCTTGAGCATACAAGAGTTCTTTTATTGTACTGCAGCTCCCAAAATTATCTAGCTAGCATCACTCTCCCAGCTACACTCTGAGAGCCACAGTCCACAACAAGATAACTTTCCATAGCTTGAGTTTCATGAAAGGGTATCACATTGCTGTTTCATTTGCTGTTCACATGATATTTTATTTTTACTGATAGAGATAAGAAGAGATGCTTGAGGGACTTTCTACCATCTGCAACCAAATAACATGGCTCAGTTTGAGTCTTACTTTTGGGAGGACAAATGACGTATCTTGTTTTGCTTCAGGCAGTAAAACGTCTTGCAGCAGTCTGTGAAACACTCCCGTTTTAACTTTTAGATTACAGTTTGCTGTAGACCTGAGTTGGTCTTGACAATACATTAGGCTATATAAATGAAAAGCAGGGCTCACCTAGTGCTAAAACTAAAGAGTTTATACCAGACATTATTTGGAAAAAGGCAAGGTGGTCCCATTATGACTTTGAACAAAATCTACTTATTCACTGAAATAACTACTAAAATCTACTTATTCACTGAAATAGGTTACGATCATTTTACGGACTTCCTGTAATTGTTTCCAATATGCGTACAATAAGGTCCTAGTTTCTATCCAGCAGGATAAAGATATCCTCCAACATTTAATAGATAAAAACTAGTGTGACCAAGCAATATAAGAATGTAGTCAAGATGGCAAAAGTTATTAATAAGAAAGAACACATAAGCTTGGAGAGGCTGCCACAGTTTGCTTTTGCTGAGCCTATTGGGAAGAGCTCCAGCAAAGGATCACCGCCTTGTCGGGGCGCTGGAGCTTGAGCACCTCCATGATGTCATGAGCGAAACCGTGAAGGGACACCCAAGACGGGACGGTTGTGGCAGAGAGGTCAGACCAAGCGTGATCCCTGGGGAAGGCAATGGCAAACCACTCCAGTATCCTTGCCAAGAAAACTAAATGGACCAGTACAACCAGAGATATGTCGGTATGCCCTTGGAAGATGGGACTCCCAGGTCGGAAGATGGCCAAAATGCTACTGGGGAGGAGCAGAGGATAAGTTCAACTAGCCCCAGATGTGATGACGCAGCTAGCTCAAAGCCGAAAGGAAGGCTAGCGGCCGACGGTACTGGAGGTGAACGACGAATCCGATGCTCTAAAGATCAACACACCATAGGAACCTGGAATGTAAGATCTATGAGCCAGGGCAAATTGGATGTTGTTATTGGCGAGATGTCAAGACTAAAGATAGACATTCTGGGGGTCAGCGAACTGAAGTGGACTGGAATGGGCCACTTCACATCAGATGACCACCAGATCTACTACTGCGGACAAGAGGAACATCGAAGAAATGGAGTAGCCTTCTTAATTAATAAGAAATTCGCTAAAGCGGTGCTTGGATACAACCCAAAAAATGACAGAATGATCTCAA